CTGGCCACCATCTCCCAGACCCTCATTCATTTGTCACAGTAGAACTAGCCTGAGCCTCTGGAGGCACTAAGCCTGGCAGATGGAAGTTTCTTTTCCCTTTTATGAGGAGTCAGCCGCTGGGATAAGTGAACTGATAAAAAAGGGTACATTCCTTACCTGGTTAAGGGCGTAGGTGAATACATGTTAATTCAATAAAGTTTTTTGTGCCTTACCACTTCGTCAGCTTGCGTGTCATTTGCGTCTTCGGGCAGACCTCTGGCTTCCGCTGGTGCGACGATCTCGGCTTATTGCAGCCATTTTCCTTCCATTTAGGCTTCCTACCGGGCTTCAGGAGGAGCAGGTGACTTAACCTGGCCATTCGCATGTGGCAGATGAGAATGATTTGTATCCATAGCTCTGAAATTAGTTCCATTAGTTAAGCGGGCATGAAAGAGCTAAAACTGGTTCAAGTAAGAGTCTCTCTTGTACGGGGAAGCTGAGCAAGTGTGATGGAAATGCACCTTGTGGCGGAACGCACAGGAGCGAAAGATGAAATTGGGGCCGGGAGGGCGCACGAAATCGAGCCGGTTGAGTAGATTGGAACAATCATCTCCAGACAAGTGTGATATACTTTTCATGCTTCACTGCAGTGACCTCCTTTTAGTCCTTCTTTGACCCAAATTCTTCTATACTCTATCAATTCCCACGTGTACATTTATGCAACAACATTATCTCCCACCATCAGGCTGGCCTTTCCATCTGCTATCTGAGCCTTAGAATGTAGCCTTCATGCATTTGCTCCAAATAACCCAGGAAAAAGCGGCCAACTTCAAGCAATGACACCGGAAGTTTAGACCCAAGAACGAGGCTTTAGAGGAGATGAAAGAATGATTAGAGAACAACTAATTAAGCCATAATAATACCGAGGGTCGAACTCAAGAACCTTTCAAATAACTTTTAACACCATTTGTTACGAACCGAACGGGCTCATCTTTGTGGGATGTAGAGTAAGGAAATGTAGTGATATAATGTCCTTTTTTTACGTGACAACCTGATATACGAAATTACAATTAAAATTTTAATCTCACCTAGGCATCACTAACCCAGAGGAACTATCTTTTGCTAAGAAAAGTTGGGTTTCGATAAATCTATTGTTGCAGAATTTTTGAGCTTACTTCCATTTCGAGTGAAAGTGTTGGGTGAAGAGATTCGAAGGTCGGTTCCACCAGA